CTGTGATGGGAAAGCTAAATTTTCAGCAGCCATTACTCCAGTCTTCAGTGTCACATGATCCTTTAGAAATCATTCTAATATGCTGATTTGATGTTCAAGAAACATTTCTTAATTATTATCAATCATGAAAACAATTGTTCTGCTTAATATCTTTGTGGAAACTCATACTTTTTCAGGATTCTTTGATGAATAGAAAGAACAGCATTTATTTGAAATAGAAATCTTTTTGTGAAATTATAAATGCCTTTACTGTCACTTTTGAGCACGTTAATGCAACCTTTCTAAATAAAAGTTATAATTTCTTGCAAAATAAAAATAAATGAACGACCCACTTCACTTATACTTAACAGTAATCAAAAATGACTCTGTGTGTTTCCTGGAAATCTCTGTGGGTCTTTTAATTGACTGATTGGAATGCTAATATACTCACCCCCACAGTTACAATGCAAAGAATGACTTTGGTGACACTAATAAGAGAAAGGCCAATCACAGCCCAGGGAACAGTTAATTCTTCTACAGCAGGACAGGAATCAGCAGGGATCGTGGTGGTGATGGGATAAACTGTGCTCACATCCAAGCATTCTGAAAATTAAGACAACCATTATTTGTTTAATGGGATATTTCGTTTTATGAGATCATGCATGCAATTCTAAATACAATAAGAGGTTTAAACATGCACTTAAAGATACGGTTTTGATGACACCAACATACAGAATTTCAGTATCGAGCAGATTTTACGGGGAATGAACTAGACTGACCGGGCTCTAAATTACCTGAGATATTCAATCCAATAAAAGAATGGTCATTTTGACCTCCAACCTCTGCAGCCAGGTAGCATTTATATTGTCCAGAGTCTGAAGGTTGCACATTATTTAACACCAGGGTTTCTTTATCTTCCAGAGAAACATTGGTCAAGTTATATGTATATTCATGGTTTTTCCTCTTGATGATGGGAAGATTCTAGAAAAGAATGACATGGCTTTGTTAGGGGATTTTGTTGTGGTGTGGTGTTTTCTGGTTGGACAGACCGACCAGGTCAAATGCCAAATGGTATGCCACTGAGGTGCAGAGGATGTTACTCATCAAAGGAAATGCTTTGTTTGCTGGCTAACCATCATGCGCCTTTCTTTTTTACTTTCAAAATCCTTTATACAAAGCAAAAAACTGATAAACTGCACAACCATTGCAAAAATGTCAAGCAAATAAGGTCAATCAGTTCAAATATAAAGGTAACTCACATCTGATTTATACCACATGACGTAACGGTAAGTTGTTGTGCGATCAGTAGCTGTACAAGGAAGTCTGATGATATCATTACAGTTACCCATAATAAAGTCTTCTGTTATCCCACAGTGCAATGCAGCCATTGCAAACAACAGCACTTCTGCAAAGAGAAATACAGAATGGAAAGTAAACATCAATCTGTTAATGTTAGCACCTATTTAAATAATAATTCGCTATCTTGATGACCTATATTACAAATGACCTATAATATTAAATGCATAGTTCACCCAAAAATGACAATTTGTTATCATTTTTTCCTCTTCTTTCCTCTGTTAAACTAAAAAGAAAATATTTTGAAGAATGTTGGTAACCAAACAGTTGATGGACCCTCTTGACTTTCACAGTATATTTTTACACTCTAAAAAATGCTGGGTTAAATATAACCCAGTGCTGGTAGAAGTCAGTGGCTACTAGCAACTTGTTACCAACATTATTCAAGTGTTCAACAGAAGAAAGAAACTCATACAGGTTTTGAACAACAAAAACAGCCATATGATATATAGATGATATTTAATACCACTAACCTAACACAGCTCAAACTAATTTTTTAACAGTCATTAGAAATAACACTCAAAATGCATAGGCTACCTATGGAGTCAAATGAGGTATGAATATTTTTTTATGTTTTAAGGTACAGTGCATGAGTCAAACAAGAAAAGAAAATAGTGATTCTATACAATACATGTTCTAGTGATTTAGACAATAGTATTCATAAAAAGATGGATTTTTATTTTAAGTATAGTTACCAGTATATATTTGAAGTTAAAACCTTTAAATTACCATGAAATATCATTCACAGACCTGAAAGCTTGTACAAAATACTGATAGCTTTGAAGAAAATCCGCTTATGATTGGGTTGGGAGTGTAAAATATGAGGCTAAATTTAAGACAAGGGTCAAGTGACTTGTTGCTTGATTGTTTGTTTAATAACTAAAATAAAGAAAACTGTTTGCCAACCCTCTTCACCTTCACTCGCTTATGATTGCATGATTCTGTACAATTTCGCATCCCTATCAGCACACTCAATTCTCTATTTAACAGGACAGAGAAGTTACAAAAAGAGAAGAAGACTGAAGTGAAAAAAAATCACTTGTGTGTCTCTATTTCAGCCATCATTTTAACTTCTAGCAATTTAGGCGTCAGCTTAAATTAAGCATACAGGAAGCACTCAAAATGACCGCACAAACATAATTTCTGTGAACTTATTAAATTATTATATAAATTATTAAATGAAATTATAACATCAGAATTATTTATTTTCAAGTATTTTTAAAGTAGTTAGGTTTGAAAGAGAAAAGTTTGACCGTTAAGCTTCAATGAGTTAAAGGTCAATTGTTAGAAAATAAAGTCTGATATTTACTTACCTGAAATCTTCATATTTCTCATTCTGAGTTCTTTACAGTGGGTAAAACACAGCCATCAGTGATTACGGGTGGCCTAACAGCTGTTTCTTATCAGAAAGTGTCATCAGTCTAACAACTGTGAGGTGCTGCTTGGAGTAAACATGAAAACTCCTGAGAGTGTCTCAATTCTGCCCTCTGGTGAGCGTAACATGATAATAAACAGAAGTTTGTACATAAAACACAATATAAAAGAAGATGATAATTGACCAATACATTTTTTAATCATTGACTCTTCACTGACTTTGACTGGACCAAAATAGGATGGATATTTTAAATATGTGGCAGAATCAAAAACATTACTGGTATACCGAGGAAAAGAAAAATAATTTGCTTATGTAAATATTTTTGTGAATGGTCTAGAGTTTCAGAGCAACGTTTTTATAATAAAATTTAAATCTGAGAAATTATTGTTCTAATGACATCAGTATTACAACAAAATTTATTAATAGTCAAATAAATAATACCTTAGATTAAAAACAGATTGTGGCTAATTATCAGTTTGTTAATTGTAATAGTATTGTAATTATCCTTATTAAAATAATGTGCTTTCAGATAGTCATCTGAATTATACAGTAATATTTCTAACAATATTAACTGAAAAAACATACACAAAAGAACATAAATATCTACACTACACACATATACTCATATTTTTAATATATTTAAAATGGATTCTCTCTCATTGATTTACTTCACATATTTAATTTGACTTCACATAAAAGTTTAGCGTTCTGTTATGTTCATAATGCTTAATTTTCAGAACTAAAACACTTATCTACTTTTATTTATGTGTATTAATGATGTATAGAAACACATTAGGCCTATACCTTCTCTGTCCTGTTTTGGACCCATTTAGCGTCACCACAGTCAGTCACTGAAAGTTCATCTTTAAACCTACACTATATTCCCGAACAGTATAACCTACTTATTCAAAATAAGTAAACTGTACTCAAAACTGCAAAAAAGTTCATTCAACTTTAAACTTTTAAGTGTGTTCAACGTTTTGGCCGTTTTAACTACCAAAAACTCAAATAAAATAAGTAAAACAGACGTAATCTTACAACCATGGCCTCATCTTCGCCTGGGGATGGCGGTAATGAGCTTCATTGCGTTCCAACATTCCAATGTACCAATTAAACGAAGAAAAGTCTTTACTTTGAACTCGTCTGACAAAATAGCTGTTACCACTGTGGTGATTGATCTACCTGAGCGACTTGATCTACTTTATCGAGCATTTTAATACATTTTATTTTAAAAATACGTTGTTTTTTTTTAACATAAGTTTGCAAAATTTAGGAATCTGCGGCCGACTGTACACTGCTGGAGTTAAACACAAGAAGTCACCAGTTAACGCGAAAACCAGAAAACCCGCCAAGTCACGCAGGAGTCGTTGCTTCAACGTGGTTCAGTGGACTCTTTCATAGTCATTGTTTCTGTGGTTGCTGCTGGGTTTTTTTTACCGGCTATTATCTGGTAAGTACTTTTTAAAAACATTTTAGAAAATATTTCAAGTACTCAGCATCAGAATGTGATGGTATATTCATCAAATTGAAACGAGTTATTTGTTGCGTATGTAGCTAACTTAATAGACCTAATAACATGTTCAGATAAGCTTTACACTACAATGTTATTTGTAGAGTGATCTAACTAAATTTAAACAATTTAGGGATAGATTTGATATATGCACGAATTCAGTCCTAGCCTATGTTTAGAATTAAATGAGCTGTAACTCTTGAAACAAAAGTTGCCATATTTTCATCCCATCACTGGTTTCCCCCCCGATATTCTCCATGACCTCCTTGAGGGTATTGTGCCAGTAGAATTTTGATAACCCATCACAACCAGTGAAGTCATTTTTGCAAAAGTGGCCTGCACTTTGTTTGGAATCTCAGGTAATTTTCTCAGTTACCATTTTTTTCCATTCCATTTTTTTTTTGTGTGTGTGTGTCTTACTTTTGTTTTCTTGTTAAACATTTTTCTTTATGTTATTTGTTTGTATGCTTTCTTTCAGATTGTGGCAGAATTCCACAGAATTACTAATATCAGTTTGAAGAACAAGTTCTATGCAGAGCTAGACAAACATACCCCTCCATTGTTGTCTGTTTACAGGCAGAAGGCTGCCCGCACTGGCAAGGCAGCAGAAGCACTGAGAAGCATCTTTAGTGCCTATGATCTTCTGGTAAATTTTATGTTAATTACATTTATAGAATAAGTTAATTGTTTAATGTGGGTAAGTTTCAGAACTGCCGGAGAAGGCTGTATTGAAAGTACACAGATCTGAGACTGAAGCCAGCTCAACTGCAACTTCAGACACTGAAATACTCCCTTATAACCCGGGACGCTTGCAAAGTTGGCCTGATGTGTTCCCAGTTCCTCGATTTTCATATGATGTCAAGTACAGCCTACAAGCTGGAAATGCAGTCTATGAAAACAGTGGAAAGTTCTTGAAATTAACAAAAGGCCAAAAACATGACATCCTAGAAAATATGGCCAAGGCAATGCACAGCTTTAAGGCTTACCCCAGCGACAAAGAAGTAGCTAAAGCTGCTGAGGCTCTTGTTTCTCAGCATCCCTGCCTCAGAGAACCAGGAAGTCAATGTGGATGGTATGGCTGGAAGACAAGTTTAAAGTTTAAGATGGGCAACTATCGCACAAAACTCAGCAGATCTGGTTGTGACGAGGTGGCTGTGAACTCAGGGAAGAGAAGCCAAAGTAACCAAGAAAGTGAGTGTCCTCACTCAAACATCAAAAAAGCTCGTCGAGCTGAGGTAAACTACCTACCCAATTTTCCAAAAGGAGAGAATGCTGAAAGCTTGGAAAAACAAAGATTGCAAATAGTTGAGGAAGTGTCTAAGACAGAAAGAAACCATGGGCTGATAGAGAGACTCATGCAAAGTACCTTTGCTCTGCGTCGCAAACAGATAGTGTTTGATAACCCATCACAACCCGTGAAGTCATTTTTGCAAAAGTGGCCTGCACTTTGTTTGGAATCTCAGGTAATTTTCTCAGTTACCATTTTTTTCCATTCCATTTTTTTTTTGTGTGTGTGTGTCTTACTTTTGTTTTCTTGTTAAACATTTTTCTTTGTTATTTGTTTGTATGCTTTCTTTCAGATTGCGGCAGAATTCCACAGAATTACTAATATCAGTTTGAAGAACAAGTTCTATGCAGAGCTAGACAAACATCCCCCTCCATTGTTGGCTGTTTACAGGCAGAAGGCTGCCCGCACTGGCAAGGCAGCAGAAGCACTGAGAAGCATCTTTAGTGCCTATGATCTTCTGGTAAATTTTATGTTAATTAAATTTATAGAATAAGTTAATTGTTTAATGTGCGTAAGTTTTACTTCATGAGCAGACACCGCTATCTGTGAATTGTTTAAACCTGGGTTTAAATTCTCTCGTTTTAAATGTCTTTCCGTCATCTGTCCATTTACACATACTAGTTACATTCTACAGAGCTCAGAAAGCTTTTCTTCTTTGTGCAGTGGCTTTAATTTTTTTTTAAAAGACAACAGTGTAAACACTTCTGAAATTCCTTTTTGAAATGTGCGTTTTTCAGGATGTGGAATGTAGGTTTTATACATCATTTTAATTTTAATATCATTTATCTGCTTTTGCTCATGAAGTTTTCATGCTTTTCAGACTGAAGAGGTGGATGAACCAGACATTGCAGATTCAGCCGTAGCTCTTGTCAGCATGGTGAATGGCGACTCGAGTTCCACCGTTCAGTTTGACCCTGCTGGGATTGCTGTTGTGCTGGAAGGTGACATTGTTCTGAGGGACATTTGCAGGTTGGCTGATGCTTTTCTGTTGATGTTTGGTTTGATATATGCATTACATCTCGACTATCCAAAAGAGCTGACCCACACCTTCAACTAATGTTAATTTTGAAGTAATATTTAAAGGCTTTTTTTTTATTTATTTTTTTTTACTTTTAATTAATGAAAATAATTGTTTATTGTTAGAAAACTGAAAATGAAGTATTGTGTATTTTAAAAAAAAAATAGTATTTTTAATTTATGATCAATAAAATTTATTGAGTTTAAAATACACAGAAAAAACTTTATTCAAATAAATGATTTTGAGTTCACAGGTTCTATGTATTTAAGTAATAAACTTTAAAAAATGAACTCCTACTGGGCTTGGAAGACTCAAAGCCACTTGCACCCAGATTGTGGAGTCTAAAAAATGATCTCCTGATTAAGGAGTAAGAGGAATGGATGTACGGGCTCAGTACAATGTATTTTCTGTTCTTTTCAGTTGTTGTGACTAATGTCGTTACACTATTTAAACAAAATACACAGAAAAAACTTTATTCAAATAAATGATTTTGAGTTCACAGGTTCTATGTATTTAAGTAATAAACTTTAAAAAATGAAGTTTATAAACTCAAAACTTTTAAGACAATAAGTTTCCTCAAATTTTTTGAGTTATCTTAACTTATCGGGGTTTACAGTGTACAACAATTGGCCGAAATTTAAAAAAGACTACTAAACCCAGGGAAAATGCATTCATAAGATTCAGAAATACTAGTAAAATCGAATTGATCATATTACATATTTGGCATGTTTGACAAATCTGATTTCTGTTAAATATAATGTGATATAATGGAAATACTGACAAGTTAGAAACCACTGCACGCAAAAGTGCAAAGTCCATATTTTCACAGTTTATAGGTGACTGGAAAAAAAAAAACGCTCATTTGTGTTAGTCATTGGTGTACTGTTTTGCAGAGTCTGCACTTGTGGTTTATCACATCAGAACGTTAGTCATCATCAGTGTTGGGGAAAGTTACTTTTAAAAGTAATGCATTACAATATTGCGTTACTCCATAAAAAAGTAACTAATTACGTTACTTCGTTACTTTTTATGGAAAGTAATGCGTTACGTTACTTTTGCGTTACCTTTTAAATCTGGACAGGGCTTGCTTGTTTGGTTTTAAAATAAAAAAGTTATATTTTTGGCAAATATAAAAGCCTTTTCACACCCAAAGTGAAATGAATAAGCCTCAGGCTGAAGGGAAAGTAAACTTACGTCATATTTTTTTAACGTAATTTAAGTGAGATGAATTAATGCATATTCATATTTATTTTAGAACTACCATAACAACATCTGATTTCTCTCAGCATGGGGACAGGAGAGCTGACAATCAATAAATTGAAAAAAAAAGTAACTTGCGTTACTTATTTGAAAAAGTAACTCAGATATTCTCTTGTAAATTAAAAAGTAATGCGTTACTTTACTAGTTACTTGAAAAAAGTAATCTGATTACGTAACTCGCGTTACTTGTAATGCGTTACCCCCAACACTGGTCATCATTATGTTGAACTAATGTTATTTGTGGTTGTTTGAAAGTATTAGGCCTACTTAAACACATTCGTAATGTAATTTAATTTTTGCTCATACATGAAGGAGCCACCTGCTCCTATTGTGCACTGTAAAAAATTATTGTGATTTTAACAGTAAAAGACTGTAAAAATGCTACAATAAAAACCTGTTAATTGGTTATCAGTAAGTTTCCATACTATATATGGTAAATAACTGTAATTACATTTAATGTAATTTTACAGTAAAATACTGTTAAAATTGCGGTTTTTGGAGGTGAAAAAGAAAAAGTCATTGTATAATTTACAGTGAAAAACTGTAAATTGACACTCTGAGAATTCCCTGCATGACACTTCATATTTTATGCTTTTTCGTTGAAATAACTATGTTTCTTCTTAGTTTTTTCTTATCAGTTGTGTACATTAGTGTTTTATCTTACATGTATATGTTGTTAAATTAATGTTTATTGCATTATTTCAGTATCGTGTGTTACCATGTTGGTGTTTAGTGTTTGTGTGAATGACACTGTGCACCTTCTATGTATATATATTAGTATTTTCCTTCTCAGCTTTTGGAAGAGCTGATTGTGATGAGCTTTGATTCATCATGTGACTTTCTCATCACCACCTGTTTTTGGTGGTTATCAGCATTTCAATGGTTTAAAACAGATATTAGTACTTGAATATGCTGGTTTATTAACTTTACATCAGTTAATGAAATACGTTTTTTTATTGTGAATTTAAACTAAGTCTGTAAAACCTAAAATGTTTCTACCATATTTTTAACGGTGAAGTTCTGGCAACCACAGCTGCCGGTATTTTACCGTAAATGTCACAGATTTTTTTTTACAGTGTGGAAGTTACAAATATTTCACAAAAGGTTTCAGAACTATCTTCTCCTGTTTCTCTTTCTCACTCACTTTGGTTTGCTCTTTTGAAGTCTTTATTTTCCTTTGAGTCCCATTTGCAGTCACAAATGGCTGAATCACAGAGCCGTAAAGCTGCTCTTCCATGGCAGTAAATAAGGCGTCTGTGAAAGTGGTTGACGGTGGACTTGCTTTTCCTCAGTCCGGAACTCGACCCTCTCCTCTCTGGACGCAGAGATCCTCCTGCCCGTAACTGACCGTATGACGTGCTCTTCTCCATCCTGTTGTTCTTCACGTTGGGGATCCCCACTTTTTTTCTTTTTCTTCCCTCCTTCTCTCCCTCTCCTAATTTGTCCCAGTGTTTGCTCGAGTCTTACTTGCTGACAGGATAGTGAGGGATCAGGATATTAATAGGAGGCTGTATGAATAGGAAGAGGAAGACACATAGAGAGGGTTGTGATTACGCCATCTGGATTAAACAATGCCTGGGCTACTTCAGGACGGACACAATAAATGAGAGGACAGCAGGGGGAAGTGAGAAAGGAGGAGAGCCTCTCCTTCATGCAGAAAACTATATGCATACTGTAATTTATACAAAGATTATTACACATTCATGTTTCAGTCATCTGATGTTAGGTTAAATAGCATCTGCTTGTTAAATTTTGTGCAAAATGACAGTGTGCTACTAAGGCTACCATATTTTTACAACAATGTTTACAGCAGCTCTACACTTACATGACAACTGCATACTGTATCTCCACACTGAATAGCGACAGACACATCATATGTGTGCATATGCAGTTATGATCGAATTTTGCATATTCGAGCAAGTCTTCTGTCAGAGTATATGCAACACACTCTTAATCGTACGTTTCCGTACGATCTGCTTACGCCCCATTGACGGTCAGGTTTAAGGGTGGACATTTAAATTGACCGTTTTATTTCGAAAAATCATATGTGACTTTAAATATAATAGTAAATAGGACCTGTCTTTCGGAGCATGTGCACAATGTCAAAGTAAATCACAGTTAGATATGATAGGCTACTGGACAACAAAGCTAGCTGCAGTCCAGGTTGTTGTAATATTACACTTTATTACAATTTCATCATACATAAAAACAAGAATATCAAACAGTCTTTCATTTAACTAAATAGTGCGATGATGCCTGCATGAAGAAACATTTTTTGTATTATTCTGCGATTTCTCTTGTTTTTTTTAACACTTTGATTACTTGTTTTGTAGTGCTTAAAGTATTTCTTTTTACATAACATTTTGTCAATTCGTACAAAACTTCACCACATCAGCATGGAAAACACCATCCCTTCGATCACTTACAACAGAATATAGGCCTAATTTCATTACTGTAATGTACAATATTACCATATATAATGTAGGTGACAAATTATGATTCCATTTATGAGTCCATCATGATTAGCTTATTCTGATCATGCTTCATGATTAGCTTATAATATAATAACATATAGTACAAGACTATAGGCCTATAGTTCAGCAACATCGCTGCACTGGCATTTTTTAACAGTAGTTTGTTGTGACAGAAAATTATCTTGTTTGCACTGATGTTACAGTACAAATTTGATAACAGAAAAGAAATTAATGTTTTACAAGATTCTGTTTTTGACTATTTACTGAATTTTGTTGAATTTTGTTCAACTAAGGTGCAAAAGCTAAAATTGACCCCTAAATAGTACATAATAGTACCTTAAGTATACATATTAGTAACTTTTGAAAGGGTATCGCCACAGGGACAATTTTGTAGGCTACCTTTTTTTCTGAGACTATCATATGTGTATTTACAGCATACATGTAAATGTATGGGAAGACAGAGACTGAATGAATTAAACAAGAATTAATTAAAGAATGAACTGCAAAAAAACTAAAATGCATTAGTACCACTAATGTTTACTACATTTGTTTGCAGGTTCCTTAGAAATGTTTTGGTAGTCATGGAGATATTAGCTTATATTATTAATTTTAACTATCCAGTTATCAATGTGCATATGTATCTGTGTGGGTGTGTGTTTTGTGCAGTCGGCAGCAGGTCCCTGAGGTTATTAGCAGCCACAGCTGTGTGTGTGTGTGTGTATGTGAAGGCCCATGTTTCTGTCAGTGAGCTTGTTCAGATCGCTCTTTCTGGCGTCTGATTGAGGATTTCCTCTAGATGATCGTTACTTCTACACACACACATACACACACACACACACACACATAGAGGAACGCCCCAACTATTCCATCAATACACAGCAGACTCTCAAAGCCTCCACAGCTGGGAGATTTTCCCATGCGAAAACACAGTACAAAAATGCACTCGTAGACACTGAGACACACACACCAGTGATGTAATAAACATCATGATAATACTGTGTATATTTCAGTTCTGTTTGACAATAATAAATTCCTTTGTTATATAGTTATCATGTGAATCAGGAAGATTTTGGAATACGAAATAATTTTGGATTTTTCTTTTGATTGATTTTGGATTGCATGACTATGATTTTGCGTTAATAGATTTTGCTGATATTAGATTTGAATGTTGAAAGTCTTAAAGACATAAAGTTTAAAGATATTATTCTGGCATTGATATGTGTGTGTGTGTGTGTGTGTGTGTGTGTGTGTGTGTGGTGTGCTGTGTTTTGGCTGAGCGCTGCTTCCACTGACCCAGTTTTGTTGGTCCTTATTAAAAATACCTTGATGATGCTTGATGATTGTGATGATGATAATTATGATGGTCTGTCTCCCTCTGCACCCCTCCTGCTGTGTGGGTGTCTTATTGTTTGATTGTTTTCTTTCGGAAGCATCGCTAGCACGATACCAAAACTGACCCCTCACCCCGAGTACGGTTAATGTCTAGGAGGGCCACATCTTCTGCTCGACGGCATTCTGCGCTGATAGCTGTGGAGCGTTTACATTGTCCAGCAATTCCCAACTCAGGGAATTCCGCTTCCAGACTCCTGAATACTGAACAAAAACAATAAGTGTGTGTGAGTGAGAGACTGAGAATGTGAGGCAGCAAGCTTGTGTATTAATGATGCTTCCTCCTTCCTTCTCAAAGCTTGAGAGGTTTGTAAATGTTTAAGCTGAGTTTATAATTTTACCTTAGAAGCAATGAGAGAGAGAAAGAACAAGTTTAAGTCATTAAATTCTATTAGCATAGAATGAATGTAACTGAATTGCCAATAATAACCGAAAGGTCAGTTATGTAATGGGAATTTGTTTTTGTCTGTATCTATTAATTTATTCTAAAATAGATTTAAAAAATGCAGCGTATATAAAAATTGAATTGAG